ACTTATCAACTAATTACATAAACTAGAACTACGAAGCGAAATTCTCTTTCTGAGAGCAAAAATTCTCTCTCTAAGAGATCGAATTCCTCCGATTGGAGACATTGATTTTCTTTTGTTGTCTCTCGATTAGGGATTGTTGTTTCACTGCTCTCATTCATTTGTGTTCTAAGGCTCAGGGGAGAGGTTAGAGAGTTTTAGAAATGACCCACAAACTTAGCGGGGGCATTGAAGAGGAATTAGGGTTGCGTCTGAAGAACATTGAACTCTCGAAATCATTAGGGAAGATAATTGAGATTGAAGACGACGATGTTCAATCAAGTAAGGAGGAATGCGAGAGAAACCTATTGGGGAAGATAGTAGGTGAGCACAGAGCGAGCTTATTCGGCTTAAAGCGAACTTTGGGCAGCATTTGGCAGATCACAGAGCCGATGGAGGTCAGGGAACTAAGTGTAAACGCTTTCCAATTTATTTTGGAAACAAAAATGACAAGATGAAAGTGATGTCAGGGATCAACGGGATATTCGAGAACCAATAATTGTTATTACATGATTGAGATGAAGGAATAACTGCGGGACATCCATGTTTCAATTTCCTCAATATCTGGGTTCAAGTATGCAAAATTCCTCTTAATTGGTTGAGTCCATAAGTGGGTTTAAACATTGGGCAGATTCTTCACAAAGTTAAGAATGTGATGGTGATTAAGGGGGGAGGAACCAGAGGTAGTTACCTCAGACTTCTAGTGACTGTTAATCTCGAAGAGCAGTTGCCCAGAGGAACCAGTATCGAACTCCATAATCAGATAATATGGGTCACCTTGCTCTATGAAAAGCTCGTGAACCTATGTTACTACTGTGGAAAAGTAGAACACTTGGACAAATCCTATTCAAAAAGACTTGAAGACATAAAAAATTCCAATCTCAACGAGGGGCAATTCGGAGAATGGATGAAGGCTATTGATTACCAAAATCCTCAGCGATCCACTAGCTCTCACATCAAGTCAAATAACTCATCTGAGGGACTCCAAAAAACCAGTGCCACAACTCCAAATAGTTCGACTTTGGGGAGGCATATTAGAGAGAAGATTGAAGTCGATAATGCGGACAAGAGAGACCCTAAAAGTAGCTTGGGAGTGGTTACCATGACTGTCTAGAAGACAAATGCAGGAAACAGGGGTGATAATCCGGAGTTTCAGGAGTCTTCTGCTCTGAACCAAGTGGTGCAGAGGGACAAAAAAGGTACTCGCCAGCAAGAAGTTATCATGGAGGATCAGATTCTTAGCTTAATGCCTACAATTTTGACCAAGAAGGCTTCAAGTATAGAGGGTAATGAGTTGATGCTCCTAGAGGAAGAAATCCCCACTCCTCAAACTGGGAAAGTGACACAATCTAAAACCTGGAAAAGTGCAAATATACAAGCTGGCAGACTGAAGAGGAAACCTAAAGGGAATGCAGAATAGGTTGAGGGAACCAGTGCAAAAAGAGAAAGAAAATACACATAGTAAGACTTGCGGAGTTATGGATGCTGAGTCAATGCCAAAAGATTCAAAGAGGCAAAAGAATACTAAAAAACAGGTGGTGGTGGTGGCCAATCTTGAATGGCCACAAGTTTCTTAATGAAGATAATCTTGTGGAACTGTAGAGGTCTGGAAGGCCCTTTTACAGTTTCCCAGGTCAAGGAAGCCATAAGGCTCTACCACCGAACACTGGTTTTCCTTTATGAAACAAGAAAGTCCAAGGATTTTACTAAGACGGT